CTCTATTCTCCTCTCAGTAATACCATAAATCCTTCACGCTAAGCTACTACTAAGAGTATGGCCTAAGAGTACTGCTAAGAGTATGGCCGTTCCCTCTACCCCTCTCCTCCAACGAATACTCCTGTCTCTCTCTCTCTACCCTCACCCACCCCCACCCCCAAAGTATACTCCCCCAAAAACCGCTGTGTTTTGCTACAACATAGCAATCACCTGAGCAGTATATTATTATTTCATTGATCGACCCTTCTCAAAATTATCTTGGATGCGAGACTAAGATGAAATATCAAAAGAAATCATACTGATTCTGTATGGAATTTGTGGCATGTCTTTAGTATTTCCATGTTAGCCAAGATCATTTTGAGAAGGGCACATTCTCAAGCGAGCGCGTGCCGTTCCAATTATATTCATTATCTGTCCGCTCTTTTGAAAGGCAGTACAATCAAATCAACCTGAACTTACTTAGTGAAATAAGATTTCCAGCTTATACCTATAGCTATTCACTTTGCACAATTCCCTTTGAGGCCCACGCGAACCGATAAACCTACAACACTACAACACGACGGTATGTATGATCAAGCGCGTAATGGAAAAGCTTTCAATTACCTTAAAATTCTTCAATTTTCCAATCCTGACATTAGTCTTTTTATCTTCCGATCCACTTACTTTAACAGCATTGTAGCGCATTATTGGTTCTTTGGATGATTAACGGTAAATGTTTTGTTACGAAGTAACGGTAAATGGTTTTTAGTACGAAATTACGACAATAATTATTTTACAAACGACATCGATAATGTGGGTGGGTGTAGGAGGTGCGTGGGACGATGGGGTGGCAAAAGGACTTACCTTATCATATTGCCAGAACATTACCCGATGTTTTGAGCAAGAATTAAGATCAAATGGCATCAGTACCTTACCCCCCCCCCCCCCCCCCAACCCACCAACTCCCTAATCGGTTGAGTAAAGAGACAGCTACTGAAAAATAGACACTATAGCGAAAAAAACAAAAACCCAAAAACAAACCAACCATGAATTCACTTCAACTGTACATAAATGAATCCACCATTTAAATCCCCAACCCTATAACCTTGCTTCATTCCCTCGTGATCTAGTGTCGGTATAACGCTATACATAGACAAAAACATATCGATAGATATATGCAAGTTCATATAAATACAGATTCAAATAAATATAAATACAGTTCTGGGATGTGGTTTCGCTGGGTACACAATGTCATTCAACGGGGAAAAGACAGCTGTAAAGTAGAAAAAGAAAATAAGAAACGTAGATGTATAATGGGGCTCTGAATGGGAATGAACGAATGAATTAATGGATCAGAAAGAAAGAAAATGTGAAAATGCCGGAGATGGAAGGTATATTATAGAATGAATGAGGAAATATCTGAGTGGATAAGTGGAGGGATTGACCGCGATACTGAAATCGACGATTTAAAGAAGAAAGGATGCCGCAATATACGGGATGATAGAATTTGACGGACGATGGGATAAATGAATGGATGGAAGCAGAGATGGCGGTTTGACAAATGAATGAATGAATACGAAGAGTGGAAGGGATGGATGGATGGAATGAGAAAGATAGATAAATGAATGGTAAATAAACCTTATTCAGAGTATAAATTCAGTGTAAAATATAACCTGATTCTTTCATTTCATTTCTCAACAGCAACCTGCTGATCTCATTTGCTTTTCTTTTCTCTAAATTATCGCCATAATTCTAGAACGAGAAAGAAACGTTTCCTGTTTTTTTGTTTTTCTTAGTGCCCAAACTTAACAAGCTAAGTTTAATTTGAATCTGTAAATAAGCCGTGCCCTGAGGTCTTGCTAAGCATCTATAACCAATATTTAAGACAAGCGTTACAGTAAGATGAAAATCTTGAAAAAATATGTATATATGACTCTGTTTTCAGGCCAACAAACACGACTTCAAAACAAAACGTGGAATAAAGTAAATGTCTCTAATTACTAGACTTTGTTATGCTTGGGTCAAACTGTGTGAACTACACTTGATTGAAGCTAGGGAAATCCAGGGAAATCCTTAACGATAACAATAATCAAATTTCGACTAAATGAGATGAATGAGAGCACGCAAAGCAAAGAAAATAGGTCAAAACTTCAAGCTAACAGGATTCTAGATCTTAGGTTGAGAGAGGGACAGAAGGACGAAAAACTTGATTTACACACGCTAGAAACATATAATAATATCATAATATTTGCCATATGCATGCAAAAACTTTGGCTTTAGTTGACAAGTATATATATATATAAATATAAAATATCAGAATAATTTGGGCAAAGGTTTTTTAATCTTCGAAGACTGTTGCCGTAATCATAAGTGTTCTTTTTTATATTCACTATTTTCCATACATTGGTTCACTGGTCAAACACAAAGCGCTCAAGCGAGGCGCCAAGGTATACGTACTTTCAAAGGATTATTCAAATTTGAACCTTGCAACCTCGACTGAATGCTTCGTGTTTGACCAGTGAACCAATGGATGGAAAGTGATGAATAGAAATTTATTTTTGTTTTCTCAAAGATTTAAAATTCAGTGACCACCGTCCTTCAGCAAAATCCAATATAACTGCACTCAATTCTCTTCCAGCCAATATTTGATAAACATTATTTTTCACAAAAGAAACCGAACCAAATTGAATATAACCAATTATCTCCTTCAAAGCAGTCTCTTTTTCCAAATAATTTATTTTGTTTTAAGCTTTATGAATTGCGAAGCCTTCACAATGGCTTCATCACTTGTGGAAGTTAATCAATTTTTCTCTGGCTAATAATTATCGCAGTTTGTGGCCTGAGTAGCGCTCGATTTCCTGTTATTTTGGTCGCAAACCTGCAAGGTGTGCGTCAAAGCATTCTTATTGAATCACGTAGACTCCGAACGACCACGACATACCTGTCGCAGACCAATCATCGATCTTTATCTCCGAGGAAAGAAAACTCGAATTTGACATCATCTCTTTTGAGCAAATGTCACAAGTTATTTGGAATATTTAGACCGATCCACTCAACAAGTTCTCTGTCAAGGCGTAAGACGAGAAGATAAAAGTTTTCAAGTGTTTTCGATTTTGTGGAATAGTAAGTGGAAGTTGGAATTGATTACTTTGCGGTCTTCTCTTTAGAATTTGTTATCATTATAATTTTGACTGATTAAGCCAGGTCGGTTCGATTTATATTTGAGAGATATTAGTCTCGGAGTTGTCACATTCCTCATATCGAGATATAATTGTAATCTTACTATAGCCTTATATTTTTAGTATCCTGCAAAACAATGCAGATGGAAAGTACTTAGACGTTTTCTCAGTACTAATTGGACAACAGCCGGTGTAAAGCCTTTTAAAACCACTCAAAAATGTATACATATTATAATGGGATCCCAAAGCAGCACCTAAGTGACTCTTCCTTTTTCCTCTGGAATCCGATTTGAATTTAAAAGCTGATTTTTGCGGAGGGAGGAAAACCGGAGAGCCCGGAGAAAAAACCCTCTTAGCACAGGAAGAAAGAAAAACGAACAAGCGACTCGGATACAAATAATAACCACTTTTACCAAGAACCACTTACCCAATCAAGTCGTTACTAGAAAGATCTTGCAGTTAGCACAAGAGTAGTGACTTAGCCATTACACATTTTACTAGGTATTTTGGTTAGTTCTCCAATAGATCACTTTACCTTAGGCGTATTAATGTTTCTCCATTTCAAACGAACCACGTCTTATTCTCTTGAGAATGGGATTCTCTGTTTTAGTTGTATCCATATTCATGTGTCTTCTCATGTGTAACCGAGCGCAAACCTTAAAAAAAGAAATGATACTCTAGGGAATGACATGTGGTCTTGAGAATGATATTCACTGTTTCAGTTGTATCTATATTCATGTGTCTTCTCGCGCACAAACTTTAAACAAAGAAAATATATTCTAGGGAATGACACGAAGTCTGAAATGGGAAAACATTACAAAGAAGTGAAGAGATGAAGAGATCTATTGCACATCGACTATGAGTATTTATCTTCGGCACGTACGCAGAGCCTGCTTTCTAGATCTTCTTCTGGTCTGCTGCGAAGAACGAGGGCTCTAGCATAATCCATTCAATGCATTCATGCGTCCACGCGTTCAAAGACTTGCCAAAAAATTTCAAAAATATTTTCCCGTTTTCTAATTTTTAGTTTGATCGGAAGTAAACACAGAACTCTGTTTGGAAGTATGACTTAGATAGATTATATTTCACTTCGGAAAACTGGGCAGGCGCCACAAAATGGATTATGCCAGAGCCCTTGTTCTTCGCCGCAGGCCAGAAAGAACGCAAGTTTTGGTTACGAGATTGCGGCAGGATTGATTGGGGATAACATCAGTGATTTTGTGATTCCCTTCTGAGGCTAAGAACCGGCTTCATTCTCTCTTGTTTCGCAGATATCTAGTAATCCAGTTATCGAAGACGATGGCCTTGAATCAAACCAGTATCCAGAACAGCACAACACCGCCAGATCCTTACATCATCGAGGAGCCCCCACAGCTGACGACTATTCGTATCATTGTATTTTCCCTGGTCATCTTCCTCGGTCTCCTTGGGAACACGGTAGTGATACGCGCCATAAGATCAGGAAGATCCCGCAAGCCCTTGACGCATTATCTAGTCACGAGTCTGGCCGTGGCTGAGCTGCTAAACTCCACATTCCTGATATTCCCGTTTGTCTACGCTGAACTGTGGCATTGGATATTTGGAGCCTTCCTGTGTCACTTCATAATGCCGTCCATGGTCGTGACATTTGGTGTGGCTACTAACACTTTGGCGTGCATATCGATATATCGTTATCTAGTCATCGTGACGCCTACCAAGATGCTGCCAACRAAAAGGGTTAGTCTTGGTATCGTGACGGGAATATGGCTGATCTCGTTTGCTGTGGCGCTTCCGTTGTATCCCCTCTACGTCCACGAAGAGATGCATCCCGGTTACTACTACTGCCATGTTCTACACGACCTTAGGATCTACGACATGGTGCGAATAGCTTTGCAGTTTTTTGCCCCTGTTCTGATCATGATTGTCAGCTATGCCGTCGCGGCTGTCAAAATCAAAGAACACATGACGTTCATGGAAAACAGAAGCAGGCAAAACCGACTTAACTCGAACATTAGCACCCTTAACACCTTCCTGGAGAGTCAAGTCAACGGTGACAACAACGTTAACCTCCTCACCGTACCTCCCCACCAGTACCAACAGGTCATCTATGCACCAAACGATCGCTTCCCACATGGATCTGCCTGTCACATCAATCGAATCCCCGACCAAGCGATGGATTATGCAGCTAGCAAGTCACTGAGCTCGCATGATGAAGGAAGCATGATTGAATCGGAGCGTGACATCATTAAGATGTTCTATGTGATCGTGATGGTGTTTTTGATCTTTTATTTACCTTACCAGGTATTCTTTCTTTGTGTGTATTATGGTGTCTTGGACAGAAACAGACATCCTTATTATGATCTTTTGGACAAGTACACTGTTTTGTTGGTCAGCTTTCCCAGTGCTCTACACCCGCTGTGTTATGGGACGATGAGTAGTTTCTATGCTCGTGCATTCTCAAAGCTAATCCTCTGCAAGCGCAACAAGTAGACATGGACGGAGCAACAGACATTCATAGAATTCTTACGTTGATGGCACTATGTTAATTGAGAAAGCACTAAGGTCATGCTGCAAGATGCAAAGCGATCTTCAAGAACCAACATGCAAATGAAGTGTTTAGTTGTTTGCACCCATCATGCAAAGCAATCAGTCCCCTGCACCCATCATGCAAAGCAATCAGTCCCCTGCAGCCATCAGGCAAAGCGGTCACTCTGGACCCATCATGCAAAGCGGGGACTGTTCTGGACTCATCATGCAAAGCGGTCAGTCTTGTGGAGCCATCATGCAAAGCGGTCAGCCCTCAGAACTATCATGCAATGCGGTTCGTTCCCAGGAACCATCATGTTAAGCGGTCAGTGTTCTGGACCCATCAGACAAAGCGGTCAGGCCTCAAGACCCATTATGCAAAGCGGTCCTTCATATGGACCCATCATGCAAAGCGGTCAGTCTATTGACATCATCAGGTCAAGCGATTTGTACTCTTACAAATCACAAGTATTCGGTCACAAAAATAGTTAATAATTAAGTTATTACACCCTTAATAGCTTGCTTTAAGGATGGACACCTTTTCTCGTCTTTGTATTTTATCTTGTCCTGATTGGCTTTATAAAATACTCAGTAGACTCGAAAAAATATCTACCCGTAACTGCACCCTTAAATGTCTAATAAAACTTAGAATAAGCCTACTAATGTTCGATTACAAATGGCTGAAGTAGTGCTCTACTGCATCGATGTTCTTAAAAATTGTTTGCACCCATTTATTTGACCGATTAGTAGGTTTATTCTAAAACAATTAGAAGTCTACTAGACGGCCTTCGGTATCATGGTTTATCGACTCATTCGGGCTGCGGGTGAATTGTTAAATAAATAAACAAATATATATGTATATATGTATATATTTGTACAATTCATCGCTAAAATATGTGTAAATAATCTATTATCTATATTTAGATATTCCATTGCTCTACATTTGATTAGGAATCGGAAAAATTCTACCCCTCCCGTCCGCCTTTCTCTCCCCTCCCTCACCAAATACACCGGCAAGTGAAAAGAAAATTTTAGAATCAGTCTTTCCACAAAAAAACTCTTCCCCAAAAAGAACTTATTATTAGATTGTAAACCTACCCAATCTCGTACCTAGAGCCCTTATTTCTTACTACGCATGCTCGACGAATTTTTTTCGAGCATGCGCAGTAAGAAATTAGGGCTCTCGGTACGAGATTGTAAGCCTATTCCGCTCAACCGCTCTGATATATAAATGAATACCTAGATATAAGCAGTTTTCTTGTAGTTCATCGTCAAAGTAAATTTTCAGTGTTTTATTTATTGATTTTGTTAAAATGTAATATAAACATATGTACAGGGTGACGCTAAAAATAAACTTATAATAAATGATTATGCAAAAGATAATACTTCACAATTTCTCGAGAACACTTCAGAACTTTCGCTTCTTAAAAATTCTTTCTAATTTATTTTTCTACTACTCTCCCTCCTCGAGGCTAAATCCAATCACATGAGCCGCAAAGCTTTCAGCGGTGAACTTCTCAGGTAAATGCGCACGCAGTAGTTCGCCAGCATCTGAGGCGTCGTAAGTCCCAGTCTCCGCACTACCTCCCAGGTCTCCCTCGCCCATGAGAGTCGACATGCATTCTGCCAGTTCTCCTTCGGTCATGTGTTCTCCTATGAAATATAATGGAATAGGAAGTTAAGTAAGTTGCTTAACATGTGAGCGGCGTTTGGTGGTGTTTTTCCTGTTTCGAGGGTTTTTCTCCCGCTATTCTCCCTCTGCAAAATCGATCACGCTAAATTCCAATTTGATCTGTGAGTTAGCCGTGCCCTGACTTTGATCAGCCCAGAGGTTGTTTCAGGGTTCAATCTGTGAGTTAGCCATGCCCTGACTTAGGTCAGCCCAGAGGTTGTTTCAGGGTTTGATCTGTGAGTTAACCGTGCCCTGACTTAGATCAGCCCAGAGGTTGTTTCAGGGTTCAATCTGTGAGTTAGCCGTGCCCTGACATAGATAAGCCCAGGGATTATTTCAGGGTTTGTTAAAAATTGATTTGGGCTGTGTTTAACGCGTGATAATTAAAATGGATGTGACCAGAGTGACCAGATAGAACGCACCTTTGCTTTGTAACATTGTCAGGAGCTCATCTCGATCGATCTCGAAGCCCAGATCTCCAGCAACACCGAGTTTAGTAAATGCTTCGTGAAGATCGGCTGGTGAGAGACCAAAAGCTGGTCTGTGGTTGACGTAAACTGAGGTGAATGGAATAAAAGATGATAAGATGGATTTTACTCATATTCACCCACTAGTGTCTTATCCTTGTGGTGCAACCACATGACACAAAATCTCAAAAGATTTTAAGAATGCAAAACCCCCCATGTTGGTTGATTTTACAATAGAAGCTAATGGCGGCTATGACGTAACATGCTCCCAAGATTCACTTGTTTTTTCGCTCCCAAAGAGCCAGCGTTTCTTTTGGCCTGCGGTTTTGCACCTTTGTTTTAGCTGGTTTATTCCTTTTTTGATAAATACCGCTGACGCAACATAAGGGATTTGAGTTATTTTGTGGCTACTTTTAATATTGAACGCTGGACATTTTTTGAAAACAAATTTGTAAGAACCTTTACGTGAGTCACGAGTAAAAGGGGGATGCTTTTAATATACTGTAATCCAGAACGAGAGCAGTGTTGTATATTAAATGATCCCTTATGTTACGTCATATTCATTAACATATCGCGAATATAAACCTTCGTATCTCAAAGACCCGACATTTAAATGACGAAATATTTTCACAATCAACTATTCACTATCTAAAGAATCAATTCTGAAAATATTGTGCAAAGGCTTATAAGCAYTTTAAAGGAAGAAACAAAAGAATTTCGCGAAACAAACTAAAAAAAAGAACAAACGGAATGTTGGTTTATTACTTACGTTTTATAAACTCGCCCAAGTCTATATGAGTAACGTATTTTCCCGTTTCCACATAGTTGCTAAACTTCACTTCATTTATCATATCTTCCACCTGAAAGGAGAGACGATAGATCTCACGATATGTATCCTAGCAACAATATCTCGCAACCTTATTGGATGGTTCCTTGGACACGTGACATCGTTATCACGTGACGGGTATGTAAATTTGGAAAATAATTTCAACGCTCTATTTTACAGTTCCGTTCAGTGATCGACCAAGAATAAAAGTTCCAAGCCGAGGTTGGAGTTGCCGCGCATAATAAACTATAGTATTCTATGCCGGCGCGGAAACCCCACCTCCACTTGGAACTATTATTCGTGGTCAATGAACGGAACTGTAAAATGGATTATTGACTTTTCAAGGAGATGTATGTCAAAACAAAAGGACACAGTTGTGCTCGTTATTAAAGACAAACTGATAATTCATATCCAAATAAATAAATCTTGGCCATGTTTGGCAGCCAGCTGACCTCTTGTTCCGAAGGATAGAAGCCCAGAGCGCGAGCGATGTACGGGACTTGGCTCAGAGGAACCTTGGTAGATGCTTGACGCGTTTCTGTTGTATCCACGCTTTGACTGTGAAAACAAACACTCGATTTGATCAATAAGTTTACACGAATCGGCCCGTTGGTCTAGTGGTATGATTCTCGCTTAGGGTGCGAGAGGTCCCGGGTTCAATTCCCGGACGGGCCCCTTCCTTTTAGATAATTCTTTTACCTTTTCCTTGAATATCATTTTTACATATATATTACCTATATTAACTATATTAACTATCCTTGGGGTGCAACAACATGACTTAACTCCGGGAGATATAAATAACAATGAAACAGCCGCCATGTTGGTTGATCCAATAGGAGAATATATTAACGACTGCTTTGTTATGACGTAACATTCACAGCTTTGACGTGACTTTTACAGCTATGACGTAACATTCACAGCTATGACGTAACATGCACCCCAATAATACCTATATCTATTTATTCATATATTACCTCCATTATTATTCATTTTCATTCTTGCGTTCCCATTTATTTTTTAACATATCGAATAACTTGGTCTTCGATCCAAAAGAGGGTAAAAAATTAAGTAAACGGGAACAGGACTTACTCTCTGATTTGCGCATAATAGAAGTAATCTTCTAGTTCAGCGAACAACTCGCCCTCTCGACCTCCTTCCAGCAGACCGTAGAATGGAATCAAGTCCTCACCGCCAAGTCTGGCCGCGGCCTCCAGGGCACTGGAGAAGAAAATAGAAGACATCTGAGCTGAGTTGACAGGCGATGTCATATAAGATAATGGTTAAATATACGTTTGAGTGACGTCACTGTAATGTGACGACATAGTAAGCTACGTGACGTCATCTTGATAAATAGTTCGTGAATAGACTGAAGGGGGAAAAGAGTGTGATGGGATCAACATTTAGTGACGTGTGCTCAGAATTATGATGTGATAGACGCTAATGCATGCATCATTTTGACGTAACGACACGTAAATTAACGGGACAAGAGAAGAAAAGGAGCAATATAGACTACTTGCACGAATGTGATGTCAAAGGAGCTTAAATTGGACGACAAAATTAAAGAATTTCAGTCTCCTGAGAATTGGAAACCTATAAGAAAAGGGGTCTATCATTACGTGATGGCAGCCATGACAGGTGGTACAACAATAGCCGAGTCTTCCTTCCCTGGGAAAGTGAATTCTTTCTTATGTAAGTCACATTAAACCAGAACCAATTGTTCCTGCCTCCTAACATGGCTGCCATCACGTGATGGTACAAAGTCGCTATTGTTTATGTTTCCTTACTCTGGATTCACTTGCCACATGAGAACACTAAGATCATCACCACCAGCCGTGAACACGTACTTCCCATCGTATGAACTGCACAAGTTTGACACCTGAAGGAAAAATCCAAACCGTTTGAATGACTTGAGCTACACGAAGAACACAAGACAAGGTAACAATTGAATGTCTTACACCGTCAGGATGAGCGATAAGAGCCATGGACTTATGAGGATTACCATCAAGAGGAAGCATTTGTACACCAATCTGAAAAACAATCACAAGTTCTTAGAAGATCAATAGGCGTCCGTTAGACCAACCTCCCTGGATGGACTATATATCTGAACAGGGTTCAATAATCTCATTTCAATCGAATGACGCTTGGAACAGCAGGCGCAGAGGCAACAGCAGTATCTAAGTGACGCAGTGAGAGTACGTGATTTGGCGGGGTTAGCATACGCGTTTTAACCACCATCTTGGTTGACGATAACAAAGCATTCCTCATAAGCTTCTCTTGTAAGATCAAATTAAGATGGCGGCTGTTCCATTGTTATTCATATCTCAAGGGATTTCGAGTCACATGGTTGAACACAAAGTATACCTTGTCCATTGTGATGTAAGTCATGAAGCGGTTCTCTCGATCCTCGTACGCCGGAAGAACAATAATTCTGAAAACGAGTAACAACAGTGAAGGTTTGCTCATTTTTCCCATTTTCAATTTTTCGTTCATTTATCATCCAAGCATTTGTTCATTTATTGAACTGTGATGATGGATAAATACATGTTTTTTTTCCATCCCATCTTCCGTCGGTCATTCGTTCATTTCTCCACCTATTTATTAACCAGTAGTAATATTTTTTCTGATATTATGAAAATAGCAAAAAGGCTATGCATAATGATTTTCCTACCTTTGCAGGGCTGTACCATAGGTTGGTCCGAGTAACGTCTTACGACACATCTTTGTAGTTGAGTTATACAACTTCAGCTTGAACTGAAACATGTAAGGTGAAACTTGATACTTAATCAACAATAGGCCTTTTGCAACAAATATTCACATGCATATACATCACTTTGATAACGAATCAATTTAGCCAAAGGTCCCTTGGGGAAGGCTCTGCTGGATGGCAAACAAAAATCCCACTGTAGTTTCTTAAAATGACTTAGTTTAAAGAACCCACCTGATCGTTAGCGACCACCAGAAAGTTCTCCTTGATGATCGGAGGGTACCATGTAAAACACTGCGGTACAGCACTCTGTTCGATTCGTTCTGAGCTCAGAAGTTGTACGTCGTCTGTTCTACTGTTCATTAGATCGTATTCAACCTGGGGGGAAATCGCGCATCACAAAAAAAGCAAACTTCAGAACGTTCTGAGAAATTTATTTCTAGCAGCAGGTATGGATCAATCACATAAGTTTGGGTGGTGTGTGCTGCTATTGCGTCATCTCACCCCGCTGAGGTCATCGGTTCGATCCCCGGACTCACCATCATGCGTGAGTATGTTTGTTGGTTCTCTCCCGTGCTTGGAACGTTTTTCTCCAGGTTCTCTAGTTTTTTTTCCTCTACAAAATGAACTTCTAAATTCCAATTCGATCATGGAATGAGGGCAACAGGTTTGCTAGCCACTAGCTGTCAAGATTTACGACTTATTCATTCTCACTAGACAAGCAGTGTACTGTACGCTGTTGCCCCGTCACAATCATAATGCGCTTTACAGCCGTTAACTCAACACTTGTATGATTAGAACTCGATATACTAACCAATACTCTGTCTTGTCCCAGAGATAAAAGCCGTGGTATATCGCTGTCCAGTTCAATACCAAATTGAATATCTACAGACGAAAAACACTGTATCAGCCATATGGCAGGGTATTGTCTTCAAGATTTCTCATTTGCTTTCTGGGCAAGAAGTGATTGGGAGGGATTAGAAATAGCTCGTTCCGTATCCCATTCGTCTCTACCATTGCTACTTTCAAAAACGTCATTTCCGGTTGTTGCTAATGGATCTTAATAACAGAATAGTACTCAATTTCTTACTCACTTCAATATTATTATTTATTTTTGCATCAATACCTTGTATCGTCTTATAATGCGCTCTTTGTTTTCCAATGTACACCCAGGGTTCTTTGTCATCATCTGGTTGGTTTTTGAAAAGTGTCACGCAACGATCCAGGTCCTTGAAGAAATAGTCACGCAATCAGGAACCATACAACTATTCAAAGTGTCACGCGCATTCTATTCTAACCAAAGTGCGATTTATGACATAGCATTTGTAAAAAGGCAGTAAAAAGAATTTCGTATGACTGTGAAAAACCCACGGTACATAGGTGCCATGCCGTGACCGTGACGGAGCCTTGTCTGCGCATTTTCATTGGCTAAGCAATGATCGCGCACGCTGTGATTGGTTTCACTGTTATCATTAATTCCGTAGCGTGACGGTGCCGTTCCGTTTCACAGTCATCTGAAATCTGCTCTAACACAATACTTACAGCTGTTGCGAGGTATTGAGAATTATGAGAAAACTGAATGTGCGTCACGCTGTCGTGACAGTGGTTGAAAATCGCAACACTATCATCACTTCCTTCGTCACGCAACGTTACAGCATCGATTATACGAACTTCACCGTTGGTGAACCCAAGGGCTGTGGAAAAAGAAATAAAAAGTATGATAGGAAATAAGCTTACTTTGCGGATACTCCAATCGGGACCACTTCGATAAACTTCGATAAATTAACCAATCATATTGCGACATTTAGTTCAATATTTTTAACCAGCCAATCAGATAGCGCATCGATATAATAAGAGCGTGAGAACGTGATAATCTGATTGGCTAACACTGGTATCAGTTCAATCTCTGTCGCTGTTTACTGTTATCTGATTGGTCAGTTTTATTCAAGTGGTCCCGGTTATTGTGTCCATACAATAAAGGCTGTCACATTCTAACGGAATCCAGGAATTGTAAGAGTTTAAATTTACCAAGTAGATCTCCAGTAGAGTTGAACGTCACGCAATTCACTAAAAGCTTGTTGAATTTACGGCTCATGATAAGCTTCCTAAACAAAAAAATATAATAAACAGATAAGAAAAGAGCGCAAAAGATATCAAGAGCAACAGCCAAGATGGCAGCTATGACGTCACATCTATCCATGAATGATTGAGATACTACCACATAGATAAATAAATCGTCACATCTATCCATGAATGATTGAGATACTATCACATAGATAAATAAATCATCACATCAATCCATGAATGATTGAGATGCTATCACATACATAAATAAATATATTTTTTGATCACAAGAAAGAAGTTGACGTACTTATCCTCGTAGTCCCACAGTTGAATGTCTCCGTTGTATCCTCCAATGCAAATCTGTGGTCTGATAATAAAAGTATTGAATAATATTAGCGATGAAATTAAATTTCTTTGGAAAAAGAAATCCGAGAGTTTTTGCCATTAAAAATCACGTGACTATCAATTGCAAAGGGCCAATTCAATAATAGCTCTAGTATTATTTCTCTACTGACTTACTGAGATGGATGGCATGCGATTGCATGGACAGGCATGTCGTGTTCCTTACGCACCCACTAAAACAGATGAAAAAGATCGATTATTTAATTTTATCGATAAACAACTTGAAAGGTCGATCAATTGTGTTGAGGGGATTCCTGTGGATTTGTCGGGGACTTTCGTCTTTCCAACTCTGGGACCTTCGCTACGCCACTACCACACCACCACTAAGACATAAGTTACTAAGTTTGGACTGAAAAGCCAAAGTTTCATGTGGTTCCTTTGGTTTTGGCGGGAACTTCATATTCGCGTCAAAACGCGCTCCCATGACGTAAAATGGATGCTTATAAATCTTAATATAATTTATTTATTTATTATTAATTCATATTTTCACCTGTAAGCTGTTGGTAGATGGGGAGAAGAAGACCACATTAGCACTCGTCGTACCAATGACGAAGTCGTTGACTACGAAAGGGGCGGCGTCGAGTGTAGAACTGGCGGCAAGTGCGATATTCTTAGCGTTCGTTCTGGGGAGAGATAACATGCCGAATTATTACTTAAGATGATGATAACCTATGATTGCAGTATGATGTCTAACTGGAACCAGTACGGCGATGGCTGGCTACGTTGTTGAAAATGATGATGATGATGATGATGATGATGATGATGATGATCAAATAATGACTAATGATATCGTTGATGATGACGTATATGCGCAGAAAATCGACCAAGAGCGTTGTTGTCGACCGACGAGGTGAGCTCTTTAGGTACACCTCGATTTAAAAAACGTTGACCATATTTAAGGGTATCCTTGAGCGTATTTAAGAGTATCCTTTTTTCAAATGACCGTATTTAAGAGTATCCTTTTTTCAAATGACCGTATTTAAAGGTATCCTTGAGCCTATTTAAGAGTATCCTTTTTTTCAAATGACCTTATTTAAGGGTATCTTTGACCGTATTTAAGAGTATCGTTTTTTTTTTTAAAATTCCATATTCGAGAGTAGGTATCCTTTTTTCAAATGACCATCATAAAAGTATCGTTGAACATATTTAAGAGTGCACCCTTTTTTTAAATAACCATATGTAAGAGTAATCCTGGTTTCAAAAATGACCATATTTAAGGGTATCCTTGACCATTTTTAAAGTATCCTTTTGTCTAATTCCATTTTTAAGGTGACTGCCTATTCTTGAAGGTTCGATTTGAGCCCACGATGTGCACGCGCTCAAAATTCGCTGAAAAATCTACGAGATTTTATCGAAGAACCATACACGTTTTGAGCTCAGAGTTCAAGAGGGCAAAACCCTCAAATTTTGCTCGGGACTCTGTATTTTTAATAGCGTATGGTGGTGATGATGATCATCGGGTGATGGTGATGTTAATTCATGATGATGTTGGTGATGATGCAGATGATAATGATGACTAATGGTGTATTTAATGATAATAATTATAGCAAGTCTAAAATGTCGTTCAGTTAAACAAAATTCCTAAATGTCACTTGGTACTTACCGTGGAGGAGGCGGTTTAGCGAAGGAAAACGACACAGATTCTACAGCACCAGCATCAAAATGTTTATACCTGAAAAAATATTGATTAACAAATAAAATATTCTTATCCTGAACCAGAAGAAAAGCCCGAAGGTTTGTGACACAAACGTATTGCTGGTTTTCAATCATTCCCAGGGGAGTGAAATAACAAAAGACATGGCGGCCATGTTGGATGATATAACGAAAGAATTCATTGACAAGTCTTGATCTTGTCTTTTGTCAAATTCATCCAAGATGGCGGCTATGACGTCATGTGCAAACAAAGAATTGCCTTATGCTTAAGTTTTCTTCTAGAGCTAAAACGAAAAGTTTTGCCTACCAGTTTGAGAGTCGTAGCTGTTGGTCAAGGAATCGAACATGGCCAGAAATATCTCCTGTCACGATATACCTGTAGGGGAAATGATACAAGAATATATACACTTCTATGTTTCTAGTGAATGCACTCTTCTTAAAATGATGTTGAATGCGAGACTAACATGGAAATATAAAAGAAATGCTACAAATTCCATCGAGAAAAAGTGTGATTTCTTTTGTATTTTCATGTAAGCCTTGCATCCACGATACTTTTGAGTAGTACTTTTTAGCCTTACGAAAAGAGTCGTAAAAACCAGCCAATCAGGGTCGCGCTTAAGTAGGGTTTGGACCAACCAGCGTGGCTCATTCATGCGAACGGCATTCAAGTGGTTTTTCAAGCATTACTTGCATTCAGTCCGTTTGAAGGATGAAATCATGGCCGACGACAGATATAGTACGTGCTTGCTTCTTCTACAGAGCTTCGTTTTCCGTAAATTTCTCGGTAACTAATTTAATTTTAATATGTTTAAAGCATACTTTTGAAAAGTTACAATAACGATAGAAATTGCTTTCTTCTGTAAGTAGATTAGCTATTAAATAGTGTCCTTTTATAGATTTCATCGAGAGTGAAAAACAAAAAAATTCATTCTGACTTTGGTTTATCAAAGAGGATTTCAATCCAGTTTATACAAATGCTTTTCAAACTATAAAACATTTTTTGGTAGTTTTACGGTAATTTTACAAGACAGTGATTTCAAAAAATGGCTAGAACTTGCCACTAAAAAAGTAATAAGGTATCTTATAACAAATTTTGACACAGACACGGACTTTGTTGAACTTTTTGTGAGCTGAGTCTATCATAATTATTTCTTGCCAACACAGGATATATGGGTTTCATCTTTAGATTTTTCTGCCATATCCAAAGGTTCAGTAAAACGTTTTTGGGGGTTGGGGGTGGGGGAATGGGCTACACCCTCTCTACATGATGGATTCTATCCTTGCTCAAATTTATTAGGGCACAAATTTATTCTAGAAAGAACGAATTGGAGTTTTACATTACTAAGAGGCTTGCTGGCATTTGTTACCAATACATGTATAAATATCTTATATTATATGATACCCGACATACTTTTCGATAGTCGTAAGCACGGTAATGGCCTTGTCCTGCAGTTTAACAATCTTGAATGCTTTTCTATTACAGGGTAGATCTTTACCAGTGTGTTCCCAGACCACAATGTTGCCACAACTGGTCGCTGTTAGGGCTCTTGTGGACTGGTACTGGAAGACTGACTGACTGTATGAACCTACACTCCTGTTGAAATCCTGTCAAGATCAACAGCTAGCGTAAGTGGGACCTTAATAGCTTTAGTATAAAGGACTAGGATTGTTTGTATGGGAATTAGGAGATCCTCTCCCCCCCTGAAAACGTTTGGGTGGAAAAGTTATGGATGCACACCAAGAGAGTGGTAGAAAAGTTTATTTGATTGGCTTTTCCATCACATGACAATACAACTACTCATCCATGCATCCATCAAACTATTCATCCGTCCATCCATCGCAACCATGCATCCGTCCACCCATCCTTCCATGCATTCATCCAACTACCCATCCATCCATGCATCCATTGAACAGTACTCATCCATCCATCCATCCATTCTACCCATTCATTCATCCATCCATTGAACTATTCATTCGTCCATCCATCACAACCATCCATCCACCCATCCATCCATCCATCCAACTACCCATCCATTCATGCATCCATCCATGCGTCCATTGTAACATACTCATCCATCCATCAATCCATCTTACTTATTCATCCATCCACCCATCCATCCATTCATCCAACTACCCATCTATCCATGCATCCATGAACCCTATTCATCCATCCATCCATCCATCCATCCATCCATCCTACCCATTCATCCAGTATTTCCTTTTCATCACAGAAGATCAAAATAAGGTTCCATTACCTTGTCAGTCAGTGGTGGAGCAACATATTCTAACTTATCGTCAACCTGTAAGTAATTAAAAATCCATTAATAAAATAAATAAATAATATTAATAATAATATACCACATCAGTCTGCCTTACCAGTGAATAGAAAATGACTTGAGATGGGCTGTTACTAACAAGCTGAGTTGTGTCATCTGGGTTAAAGATGATGAATGTCTGCAAGAACAATCACTCAAAATTAACTTACAATATTAATATCTTCTTTTAATGGAAGACAATATTGATCTTAATTGAAGTATTTCCTGGTAAATACTAGGCGTTTGGATCAGCTAATGGTCTGTAATGTAGAAGATGAGATGAACAAAACCTACCTGCATTCCAAAGTCACCATCTAAAGTAGCAGAACAGAGTGGAATATCACCATTGGATGTCCAGTCCCACACCGATACAACCTGCCAGGTATAAAAATAGTTATTAATCTAGTTTATCTTTAGATTTGTTGTTAATGTTATAGAGTATTCTTTTGTTTTTGGGAATCAGGGGGGTGTAGCAGTAGTGTACCATCCTCTCAACCCATTGGTTTTATAGGGTTCTATTGCTAGACATGGCTATACATGTGAGTAAATTTACAGTAGGTCTCCCTTGATTGAAGTGCTTTTCTCAAGTTCTTAGATTTCCTTGTCTCAGGAAAACCTAACAAGCTAGATTCCAATAATTTAATCTGTGAGTTAGCCATGCCCTAACTTAGATCAGCCCAGAGGCCGTTTCAGGGTTCAATATGTGAGTTTGCTGTGCCCTGGCTTAGATCAGCCCAGAGGTTGTTTCAGGGTTCAATCTGCAAGTTAGCTGTGCCCTGACTTAGATTGGCCCAGAGGTTGTTTCAGGGTTTAAATCAGTGAGTTAGCCATGCTCTGACTTTGATCAGCTCAGAGCAGGATGTTTCAAGGTAATCCTTCTAATATATTTCATACCTGTGGTAGTGTGCTACTGATTGTTGTAATATACTTGGCATCTGGGGTCATTCCAATAGTAATGCATCCACTCTCATGAGCATCAAAGATGGTTTGTACTGGGATTCTATTCATACACCACAAATTATATAAAACTATCAGATGTTATTATTGCTAATTATCTAAATGCATTTAAGCAAAGGAGCACAAGTTTAAACATTGTTGTTTGAAGACTCTGACACTGTTCAACTGTTAAAATAAATGCAAAATACAGGGGTGCTTATTTGAGTGTTCCAGGAAGAGAGGCATCATTTGACACTATGAAATCATACTTACCCAGTAAAAGAATCCCATATGATAACCATACTGTTAACTCCACTGTCAGCAGTAGCGATCCAGCGTTTGTCTTCACTCGCACAGATACAGGTTATGGGATTACACTGCAGAATAAACAAATAGCATTACATGTATACATCAATCAGAAATGTTCTATGAGGGCCTAGATTAATAGACCATTAATAGGTTAAAGGGCAGTAGTTTTAGAAACTATATTTTCAAATCTAGGTAAGTACCCATTTTTAATTTAAGGAATATAAAACGCGCATGCATGTCTCTGTACTGTGATATTAACATGCTGGGTGTTGTTGAGCAAGAGAGAAGCAAGCTTAGGAACACAAGGCCTAGCCAAGTATTTCTCTTGCTTTTCAAGTGCTTTACAGATCCCAGAGTGTTTATATCACAGTAAAGAGATATGAGCAGACGTTTTGTATTGCTGTTATAAAATATTTTTGAGCATTTTTGCATGAGCGCCTCTGTCCTCTTATATAAACAGGGTAGCCAGCCAACCATGAACATTATATCTCAAATATTTCATAATATATAATACTGATGTGTAGAATATGTTTATACTAACATGTCCTTGTAGAAGTCTTTGTTTATTGTGTTCAAAGTCATACAGAATTCCAGTGTGTGCTGTGGCATAGAATATCACCTGAAAATATCAAATAGGAATGATTCAAATGTATAATCTCATTCAATACTAGTAAAGAAAGCAATAATACTCAAGTATCCTTAGAGTTGTGCATGAAAGATGGATTGAGTTCTAAGGGGTAAGGAAAGTATATTGATATATAGTATGTATTTAAATCAAGAGCCTCTTCAATTTTGATACAACGCAGTGGCTATACAGCTTATCTTAATATTTTGAATGTTGACTTTTGCATCAACTTACCTTTTTGTTGCCTTCAGACAAGTTTATGACTGGCACACTTTTGTTTAAGCCAAAAGACCAACACATATTCTACACGATAATCAAGAACAAATATCACAATTACAACATGATCAAAAAGAAATCCCCATAGAAATACCCTCTAAATATCATTTGTACCGACCAGGGCAGACGGTAATGCTGTGGGTAACGTTTCTTCACTTTCTCGTCCTTCTTCATCGTCGAATATTTGCGCAGCGCTTGCACTAGCCACCCTCGACTGAGCCCCAGTTCTTTGTCCATCTTCTTCCATGATTTTTGTCACTTTTTTGGGGATAAAAGACAAGATTTCAAGGAAGACAACTGAGAAAATCCAATCGTTTTGATTCTTATTTTTCTTTGTATCGCGAGTTTTTCAAGTTGCTTAGCGACGGTACGAGCCTGCGATTCTCTCCGCTGATCCGTAACACAGGAAACCCAAAGAAAATATTCACTGTTACATTTTAATTTTTCCCTGCCTTCATCGAAAGATTTTAAAAAGACAATTAAAAAATTAAGGATAAGAAAAATAGTTGCCAAATACTTAATTGCTTAATTCGACGGATTCCTAATACCATTTATCATATTTCTTTTGTTTTTTTCCAGCCAGCCCTCAGTTTACATCCACCACAGGAAGCCCACTGTTACCCACGTCGTCGACTGCATCGTGAACTCGCATTCTTCGCCGTTTCATAAAAATAGTAATTTTGCTTTTTGTCGAGAAATGCCGTATCTTCAAGTCCAAACGAACATCCCAGCGGCTAAAGTCCCTGAGGATTTCTTGAAAAAATCGACAACCCTCCTAGCAGACCTTCTAGGCAAACCAGAATCGGTGAGTTTTAGATTTAGAAGGAAAATATATCTGAATGGTCGTGTCGCGTACCGCCATACGTCACAATGAAATATTTTCTATTTTCGCTTTACTCCAAAACGGCTTCAGTATTCAAGAAGTTAAAGTGTTTGTAACTTTTGTAATATGATTTCGGAGATTGAAGCCTTATTATTTGAGTGCTTTGATGGGATTATTTTCGATGCTTCAATGCAGCCAACTAGGGAGGCCATTTTAGGGACCGATCATTAATTATGTAGGAAGAGGGGGGGG